AAGCCACTAATATTGGCTATTATTCTTTCCGTTATTGGCAGTGGTAAAATTGTTCCCTGGTTCTTACTCTGGTGTCCTCAGAAAACAGTGTTAAATCAGACTGCAGTCTTCSCTGTCTTCCAGGGCTTACAATCAGCTGCATCTTATTTCAGGCTCCTTTGCACTGTCTGTTTGCTAAAATGTGAGCCCCATGAATGTAACCTGGAAACCTTCCCTGGGAGYCCCTAGGGAACCTGGTCTGCATGTTCACTGGTGCATCCACAGTCCTGGCCCTGCTCAGTGTGTGCATGTTTAATGCCATACTGGTCTTTTAGAAGAAATTTGCTCAGTCACTACCTCTTCTGTGGGAGAAAGATTTTGGAGTGCAGACTCTGTAACTTTGCAATTGACCTTCATGGGAGTCCTCACACTGTTCTCAAGAGGATGTCAGAGGCACACATTTCTGTCTCCATCTCAGACATACAGCATATTGGCTCTAAAAACTCCACATGCAGAAGGAGGGATCATTTTCAACCAGAGGWACACTGACGACTTCACAATTTTCATTGTTCAATTACTGAACACTGATATCTAAAAGAAAGCAGAAAGGGACCAGGTAGAGGAAGCAGAGATTATGAGGCAAASACAGGATATGGATATCATTCCAGCACTTCACTGAAGGAAAACTCAGGGAAACAGAATTTCTAGATTGCACAATCCTCATTCTGAATACGAACTCTCAGGCCTCTCCATCATTTATATAACACTTTAGTTACAAACATTGCCAAACATGTGTGTTTGTGAGTGGTCAGCTGGAGAAGCCTGCTGTAGCTGTCCACATCTCTTTCCAGAACCAAAACCCATGTGATTTGCATTCCCGAAAGGACTTGGCTATTTTCTTACGGTAAACACATTGTAGGATTCTGGGCCCTGGGATAGGGAGATTTGACAGTCCTGCTGATGAAGGAAATTAAATTTCCCCCAAATTGCTGGTTTGAGATGCTCTGTTTGGATATTCTCTAGAAAGATGGGCAGGCTTTTTCTTAAAGATGGTAAATATTTTAAGTTTTGTGGGGTATACAGTCAAGAAGGTACATAAGTGAGTAATGTGGCTGTGTTCCAAAACAAACTTACAAAAACAGGACACCAGTCTTAATTTGCCAAACCACATGCTAAGCGAGAGGCTAGGGTGCCAGTTCTCTCTGCAATATCTGGATATTCTGAATGGATATCCACCACTTAGTATTTACTTTTTATGTCCCAGTGAGTGTGCTCTGACTGCAATACTTTGATATGAATTTTTAAAGTGGAGAGTATGAGTACTTTTGATTCCATCCAATTTATGTGAATAATCCAAGTGAAATATACATTAGATGATGTTGTATTTCCTAGAGTCAAGCAGATTTATGATGACACTCATTTAATGCACTTGTCTAGAATGAAGTGAAGAAATACTGTTGCTTGGGAATAGGGAAAGGTAGATAAGGCCATTTTTTTTGTTTGAACTTTAAAATAATTATTGCAATACATTCTTAATTATTCAATATTTGATTACTTCTTAACTTAAAAATCATAAATGGTAGGAAGGAGAAATTAAAAAACCTATGAAACTTAAGTCGTGTATATGTTTTAGTAGTGGAGATTGAATCCAGCCCAGGGGAGCTCTATCATTGAGTCTTTTTTGTTGTTGTTGTTTTTTGAGACAGAGTCTTGCTAAATTATCTAGGCTGGCCTCAAACTTGCAATTCTCCCACCTCAACCTCTCAAGTTGCTGAGATTATAGGTGTATGCCCCCATATCCAGCTAGGCCACACAATTTTTTATCCCTTTAATTAATCTTTCCAAATTTCAAGTGAAGGCCGAGAATATCTCAAAAGTGAATTTTAAATTGCCATTAGTAATCGCCTTATATACTTGTCTATCTTTAAAAGTAAACAAATACATTGATTTTTTTTCTACATTTATTTTATGGATAGATGCTGATGAATTCCTTCTTTGGCAAATTTTTAGATTCAAGAACTTTATTTAGAGGCCTGGGTAAACTTGTTTTAGATTTCAAAACTGCCAGAGTAATTGACCTGAAAATCTAAGGACATGAAAATATATTCCTAGACACACTCAAAATCCTTTAGTTTTTACTCATTTTATACGAGAGAGGCAGAGAGGAATGAGGCCTACAAGTGATCAGGAAAGCTAAAAAGAATGGTGACCTGCGTTAAAAAGAAAAAATTTTGGCAGTCACTTATGAGTTAAACATGAGATTTATTGCAGAGGCTTGTCATAGACTGAACATTTCTATTCTCCTCCCTTAAATTCGTTTATTGAAGCACTAATTCCAAGGTGATGATGCTCGGGGATCGGAGGGTTGGGAGCCAGTTACTCAGATGAGGCCCTGATGATGGATTAGTGTCCTTACAAGAAGAGGCACTGAAGGGCTTGTTGGTCTCCCTTGCTCAAAGAAGGGTTCACACAGTGACATGTCCACCTTCTACAGCCAGGAAAAGAGCCTTGCTAGAAAGTGACCATTTTGGAACCCTGATGTCAGACTTCCTGCCTCTAGAAGTAGGAAAAAAATTAGTTTCTGTCATTGAAGTCACTCAGCCTGTGGCATCTCATTATGGCAGCCTGAGCTAATGCCAGGCCTAATTTTATTTTTATTTTTTTAAGGAACCTTTTTCTTGTTTTCTAAAATAATTTTTACATAATAAGGAGGTGCTCCAAATAGAGGTAGAAGTTGATGGATTAAGAAATAAGGGGTATAGATTCTTTAATATATATATATATATATATATATATATATATATATACACACACACACACACATAAAATCTATTCTCCCCAGTCTCACATTTGCAAAATGTCATCCCAGCTTGCTATTGCTGTCTAAAAGACTAATTCATTATATCATGTACCAAGTTCTTATGTAAGAAATGAACTGTCCATTTTTTGAGTAGCTACAAAGGTGCTTTGAAAATAAATATTTTGTTTTTACAATATGCTCCTTAGTTATCTAATGATCAGCTCCCCACACCCCTCGGTAATACACTATGGCTCAGAATTAAGAACAATCCACTGGAGGGTGAGTTGTAACTGGACCTTGATTGAGAATGATAGTCTGCCTTCGACTTGCCATGTGAAGATTCCCTCCAATGATTATGCTTGGCCCATCTGAACAGCTTCAATGGGCATTACCCCTCCCCACCTTTCATTTCTTATAAAAACAGATGTTTTTCCTTCTCAAAAGCAGAAAAAAAAATCACAGAGATTAGCAGAGTGTCAGGTATGGCATTTATAGGCATTTCAAAAGAGTATAGTCAATTTGAAATGTTGAACAGAATCATCATAGCTTTTCAAGGCTTTAAATTATTTACACTTTAAAGTTTTCATCAGACATTGCAATGTTAAATTATCTGAACTTCTAGCAATTAGTTGTGGTGTCAGAAAATGACAGGTAATTAGTTCATACAGTACATCTCATGCCCACATTCCATGTATTCTTGGTAGAATGTTGCACTATGTAAACGGCTACTGCAAAAGAGGCAATTATTGCACTGAATTTTCCATATGATTCCCTCCATGGAAATCTTGTTGCCTCTTCCCAGATCTGCATCTTGCCTTTGAGTAGATGCACAGAAACCAGCAGTGATTTCTTGCCCAAGATGCAGTAATTTTCTTCATCCCATAGCTTTCTCCTTTACCTCATTTTTTTTCAATCCACAAACATTGACTGACATCTTCTATAAGCCAGGCACTGTCCAGGCTCTGGGAACACACTGTGATCAACATACAGTGAAGTCCCTGCCCTGTGGAGCTTCCATTCTAGTAGGTGAAAATAAACACATGAATATATAATGTTACAACCTTCAAAATAGCTTAAATCCATACCATCTGAAAGCTATTTATTATACATTGTTATTTTTGGGTATTGGATGAAGTGAAGAGAGGCCAAGAACAGAATGTACTTCCACCATGTATATATTGGGTGGGTTTAAGCCAGTCCTTCATTCAGTCTGAGCCTCAGTTTCGTCATCTAGAAAATAGGGAGCATTTGAATTAAATGGCTTATTAAGAAAAATGGACCTTTCAGGCCCTTCCATTTTCTAGGGTTTTATGAGAACATCTTGTACAAAATCAAGAGCCAGTTTGTTGACTGTTCTAAAGTTTAAAAAATACTTAAGATTAAATACAAGAAATTCTTAGGTATTGTACATACACTCAATACTTCGAATGCCAATCTAACTTCTTCCAGAATCTTATTTACAATGGCTATAGAGTGAAGTCCTTTTACCATCTTTTGCTATGAGAAATAAGTTATTTATTCATAAAAACATTTAATTCCATTGTTGGTCACAAAATCCCACCTTACTTGGGAAATGATCTCTAGCTGAGAAATCCTGTCTTGAGTGTGACCCTCTCTCTCTCCTACTAAGCTATATCACTGACTTTGTGGTCCTGTATAATCTTTTTGACTATAATATTAGCTCACAAAAACAGGAATTGGGTGCTTTGTTTGAAGTGCAACCCAAAGGAGGTTCTGTCCTGGCAACCCACTGATGTATGTAATGCCCACACCTATACCATGTTCCATGGTCACAGGCCTCTTGGGAACCTACCTTAGTTCTTGKGGCTGTCAGAGTAGTTCTGCCTAGAAAAATTAGAGCTTTGGTCTACCACGCCATCTGAAAGGGGACATGGGTTTCCAGAACAATTCACAGACTAGGACAATGTGAATTAGAAAGTATCATAACTTTTTCAGAAGACCTGGTGGAATGTTAATGTACATTTAATAATGCAAGCAACGAAGCACATATTTTATCATCAATTATTTTTTTTTCTTAAGGAAGATAGCATACTGGGAGAGTTTAATGTCAAATAAGGTGAGCTTCCTACTTATTAACTTGGTAGGATTTATGAAGCCTGTGATTCTCTTGAAAGACAAATTGCATTCACTGGTTTAATTATGAAACAGAAATTCAAATTTCAATCAATCCAGTGGCTAAAGATGACAGGAAACTTTTTTACAGGACTTTAAGGGGATCTTCTTTTCTTATCTGGTTTCGATTCCCGCTGACATCTTGGGGATTCTGAAGGCTGTGTGCTCTTTTATCTGGTTGCTGTGTAATCAAATATCCTACACGTTTTCAAATTTGATCAGGTGGGTTCTATCACAAGGACACATCTTTGCGGTGTCTTTGGGAGCCAAGTTAAATCTCTCCTCCAATATTGGAGGAATTTAATTCCTTCCTGTTGTTCTGCGATGTCGAGATACATTGTCAATGCTATCAGAAGTACCTGACACAGGCTGCTGGGTAGACTGAAGTCTGTTCTGTCCCTACAGTGACCGAAAAGGAATAATAACCGTATCCTGGGTTGGATGCTACTACTTCAGGACCAGATGGGCAAGGGCATCCCACATAACCTTGAAGAATTTTGAAACAGCTCCCTAATACCTTCTAGCAATAAACGATATCTCAAATAGTGCTGTACAGACTACAAGATGAGGGCAGGTCCCACAGATACTGGATATATACAAAGGAAGATCAGAGAGAAAAGGGCAAATATATGGCAAACTTCATCACAGTTACAGTTACGGTTACAGGTAAATTCTTGTTAGCAAAGGAAACAGATTGGGGTATACATTATGGAATTCCCGTATGTGCATGATACCTACGAGAGAGTAGCCTCCGCTCATGAGGATGGACAGGAGGACCGACAAAGCCTTGCTGATGTTCAGTGTCCTTACATCAGTTCGATCGTGACCCCTCCCGGCCATTCCAAAGGGTCCACGTGTTGCACACAAAAGTGCATCAGGCCTGGCTGTGGTGTGAGGACCCCATGAAGTCACTGTACACAGTGTGGTTTCCAGGGTGGAAGTCCTTGGCTGCAAATGAGTACACCTCTTAAGTCCACACCTCCATGGGCACTATGGCTTCTTTGGTTCCAACAGACGGCAGTAGGCTCTCTTCAGACAAGAAATAGAAGGGGAACTGCACCAAGAACCCACGGATCTTCTTCAGTTCTTCCTCAGCTCGAATGGGATCTTCCTTTGCTAATATGGGCTTGGTTATAAAGTCTCTCAGCTGAATTAAATTGTGTACTTCATCATTGGGAAGGCACCGGAACACCTGAATAAAACACAGATTGGAAATGTAGTATAGTTTTCAAAGAAAGATACACATTCCAACAGGCAAATGCTTTGTTTTATAAAACATGTTTCTTTTTTTTTTCTTTTTTTGTACTGGGGCTTGAATCCAGGGGTACTCTACCATTGAGCTATATCTCCAACCCTTTCTTATTTATTTTTTAGAGACAGGGTCTCATTGCATTGCTTAGGGCCTTGCTAAATTGCTGAACTTAATGGCTTTGAACTCATAATCCTTCTGCTTCAGCCTCCCGAGCTGCAGGGATCGTAGGGGTGCACCACGGCTCCCTGCTGAAACACATACGTTTTATGTCAAAGCACAGACTTAAGATTTGCTCTTTGCCACAGAGCAACTGCTACACTTACTCCAATTAAGAAAGCCATAGCTAGATCCTTATCATTCATCTATACTGGTCGTTAATCACAGGATAAAGTCAAGCTAGTGGTGAGGAACTGCACTGATGTCACCCCATGTGGAGGTTCCTTTTTTGGATAATAATCATCCCTGAATTTCACTGGTGGTTCTGGCCTAAGAGGAAAGTTGCATTATTATATTTTCTCTGGTTTTACATTTTGAAAGATGTCCTTACCTTTACTTAATGTTATCAGCTGCTAACATGTCACACTTTGCTGACTAAAATTGAGTTTCAGACATCATAACCTCTTATTCCTGTATATTTCTTAAGCATAAGGTCATATGCCTGTGTAACCACAGTACCATTCTCACACCAAAGAACATGAATTCCATAATGTCATTTAAGATAGGTCCATATTCAAATTTATCATAGTGTCCCCAAAAGGTCTTTTATCACTGTTTTCTCAAYAATCCAGGGGCCAAAAAAGACTGTGCCTTGCATTTGTAAGATCATATTTTAAAAGACTCCCTGCATATGACCTATTTGATCATGGTCTTGAGTCCTCAGTATAAAATAAGGATATAGATATTCATCACATTTCATGGAGAGAGATGATGTTTCCACATTGGAAGGAACTCTGAAGGTCATGAATATACTATACTCCTTCCCAGCTTCTCATAGATGGCTGAGGAATTTCAGCTTGAATATTTTCCATGACTGGAAGCTGGCTACTTCACAGGTAATCTGTTCCATTATCAGACAATGCTTGATTTTTTTATAAAATCTTTATGGTAACTGATGGATAAAACTTRCCAGGAGAAAATTAGAGCAGTCCAACAAAGGACATCTCTTAAGTCCACACCTCCATGGGCACTATGGCTTCTTCTTCTTAAACCAAAATTTAATTATTAAAAATAAAGCAAAACACAACAAAACTTCATCATCAGGATGGCTACTATTTACTAGGCGTGATGTGCTAAATACATTTAAGAAAAAATTTTTTATCCACATAACTATTCTGATGAATATCCCTCCCAATTTATAGGAAGGAAAGGAAGGCCAAAAAAGTTATGTCATTCTATAGAAGTTATATCCCCAGCCCCTGGGTGAGCTGGGTTGAACCCACRTCTGACTCATTTGGGGATCCCATTTGCCCCTCTTCTCTTCATGTTCAGGGGCTGGGTAACCATGCACCAAGGATGCTCATAATGAGATTCCTGCATCAAATGAGAGGACAGGATGCCACTGAAGTCGCTTCTGAACTATCATCCCTGATGCTTTTTGATCTTTGCTTTTCAATGTTCACAAAGAAGTATTTTTATAACCTGGAGGTATGTGGTTCTTTTTAAACTCATCAAGAATATTCCGTATCAATAAAATGCAGAAATAATGATGCTCTTTCTGTGATGAGAGTCAGTGGAAAAAAGGGCAGGGAGAGACTCAGGTCAAGTTTACCTTATCATAAATTGTAGCATTTCGAGCTGCCGTTGAAACCCACACCTCCTTGAAGAACTTGTCACTCACTGGATCCTGAATATCCTCGCTTGGGTCAGAAAGATAGCCAAGGACAACCCTGAAATACAAGTGCCTCCAAATTGAGTTAACTAGGATGAAGAAGTTTGTTGCCTGCATTGTCACCGATGGTAACAGATCCTCAATCATAGGAGTCAAATTGTCTTGTTTATGTTTTTGGAAATCAAAGGAAGCCATTAAAATTAAATACATATTCTGCTTATATTTATTTATCTCTTTGTCTCCTAAGTGGCAAAACAAAACAAACATAATAAAACAAAAACCTAAGTTTCTCTGATGCTTAAATGTTTGAACTGTTGAGATAGAAAGACCTCAATTTTGTTTTAAAAGCATCCTTGTCATTTGGCTTCTGGTGGCTACAACTTTGGAAGATAGGAGTAGTGCTTAAACATGTGCCAGAAAATGTGCTAAGCCCTTTCTAAATCTCACTAAATCCTTAAGAACTCCATGCAAAACAACTTTTATTATCTTCATTTTCGAGATAAATTCACAGAGATTAAGAAACTTGTTACAAATCAAACAACTGTTAAGTGGTAAAGCTAGGACTTAAACCAGGGCCACAGATCCCAAACCTGTGCTCTTAACCTTGACATGTCTGCCTCYCTTCCCTACCTCACYCTTTCTTTCTTCCCTCCTCCCTTCCCTTCCTTCAGGCCCAGGACTATGCTTAACTCTTGGGTACATAAATGAATAAGAAAAACAGAAAGTCCTTTTGGGTAGTTAAATTTGGTGGTTAAGACAAAAACTGAAGAAATAATCATCCCAAAAGGAATWAATTATAATCATCATAGATAAAGGGTATCTTTTTAAAAAAAAATAGATATTTTTTTAGCTGTTGATGGACCTTTATTTATTTACATGCAGTGCTAAGGATCAAACCCATTACCTCACACATGCTAGGCAAGCACTCTACCACTGAGCCACAACCCCAGTCCACAGGGTATCTTGAAGCCCATGAGATGGGTGTGGTCAGGAAGATTTGTTCTTCTCCAACCTGTTTACCTAACTCTATCTACTGTGGTTTAAGATTCAGTACAAGATCAACTCTTTACAACTTTTGAAAGCTCCTGGGTTTCCTATCTCCTAGTTAACCCTGGGAAAATTCAACATTATTCCATGATTCCCCACTGTACTTCACATATGCTTTGTATTTTTCAGAGCACCTGACATATTTTATGTACTGTCACATTTCTGGAATGCCAATTCTTTGAGAGACCACGACCTGGCTACTGTCATTTCCTCAGAGTACCTGGTATAAAATAAATCACACACTAGATGTTGTCTGAATTGATTGTGAACAGGAGACTAGAAATAGCAAGGAATCATTAAACAAAGCAAGACCGGATTCAGAGGTCAGATTTGAAAATTATAATAACTCTTGTTCATAAAGAAGACAGTTGGTTTCCAAAGCACTTCTGCCTTTATCCTGTGAGGGAGATGGGCAAGGGGATTTCCATTCTGTAGACTGGAAACTAAAGTTTGTGGATATACTTAGTAATTGAGCTAAAATGCAAACTGAGTTCAAAGCCCTTTGTCACATGCCCTGTTGGTTCAAAGAATACCAAGAAAGCCTGTGGTGACCGGAAAGAGCAATGGGAAAACAGGCCGTAAGTGAAATGGAGACCCACTGTAGACCTCAGACAGAGAGGTAAAGGGGTCAGACTCACATACTAAAATACAGCTAATGGACTAAGAATAGACTGGAGGACAGGTGGACCAGGGTTGAAAACAGAGAGACCAGTTAGGAGCCAGTACAGGAAGCTGGGTGAGGTATGACTGTGGCTTTGGCCCGGATGGTAGTGGAATGAAGAAAGAGCCAACAAGTTTTGTTGACAGCAGCTGGAGGGTGTGAGGCATCAAGAATGATTGAAAAGGTTTCTGTCTCAAGCAGCTAGAAAGGTGTAGCTGCCATTAGCTAAGATGGGGAATTCTGCGGGTGTGTACAGTTGCTAAAAGAAGACTAGGAATTCCATTCTGGACTTATTTAGGCATTTTTTTTTTTTAACATCCAGGTGATTCTGCTCTGTAGGCAGCTGGAAAAAATAGATCTGGAGTTTGGGAGAGAAGGCTTGGCCAGAGATTTGGATCTGAGAATTGCCCTGATTTATATGCTCATCACACCATATGTTTTTTATAGAGCTCTCTGGAGTAGTATAAACAGAGAAGAGGAGCTGGAGTACCCCAACAGGAGGGGAGGGAATCAACCTGCAGGGCTGGGAAAAGCCAGAGGATGTGGTATCCTATAACCACTCAGAAAAGAAGGCCAAGAAGAACTGAGTTTAATTCACACAAAAAATTGACCACTGGGTTAGATAATGCAGACATTGTGAGACTGTTATCCTTTTTGTATTTAAATAATGCAGATTTATATCATCATTTTTAATGGCTCTTGTTTCCCAGAATGTGAAATTTATGTAACCAATTATTTTATTACAGACATTTGCATGGTTTCCACTATTTCATTATTATGAACAATGCTACAATGAACATAATTTATTCATCACGTATAGTACTTTGTGAATTTTTATGACTATTTCATTAGGAGTAATACTAGAATTAAAATTCCTGAGTCAAAGAATATGCAAAATTATTCCAAAAAAGGCTGTAACAAACCACATCATCTTCACATGTATTTCTCTCCAGTCACTTCCAACATCACTGGCTTACCAAAAAAACTCAAAGTCAATTTTATAGGGATAAATTAAGGCAACCCATAGGGGCTGGGGTTGTGGCTCAGTGTGTGAGGTACTGGGTTTGATTCTCATGCACCACTTATTAAAATAAATAAAATAAATAAAGATCCATTGGCAACTTAAAAAAAAGTTTAAAAAAGGCAACCATTTTAGTTTTAGTCTKCGCCTTTTTTGCTATATAAAAATTCTTTAAAATAAAAGGAGTTATCATCATGGGCTCACTAGCATTCTTGAGTTATATAACCTCAAAAACCCCATTTCCATTTCAAATAATGCCTCCTTCATGGAAATAACTTTAAAAGAAAGATTTAAGAAATGATTCTTACACATACATGCTGGCTCCTAATTGAGACCCAAAGCAAAATTTCATTGCACCAAATCTAAAGGACAGTACAGGTTGCGACAATAGCCAATTACAATACCTTTGATTTGGGACAGGTCTAAGAAGCTGAAAACTGAGCAGGGAGTATTTCTGTGATGTTGCTTTTAGATTAGAACAAGAGGGGAGATAATAAGTCTACCAGGTTTTCTTACSAGGTTAAGAACTATTACCAGATAAGACCTGTCTTACCAGGTTAAGAACTTGTTTGCAGAAAAACTATTTTAAATAAGCCTGCAACAGTCACTATTTAGCAAAAAATTACTTTTCCCCGTTGGCATTTTAATTACAAGAAGATTATGTTAAAATGCACTGTAAAAATAATACCAAGTCATGTATTCCTGGAATTCTTTTGAGGACTGAAGTTTCTAGAGAAAATGACTTTGATTTTATGTTAATATGTATAATGGCCTTATTTAATTTTAATTGCTTATGCATCACAAGAAATAACAAGGTGGAGAAACTGCGAGTTATCTGTGTTCCTCCCTTTCCTCATGTCTATCACTTTAAATGATTCTGAGCTATACTTGTGTGGATAATAGTTTCTGTTGAATGATGGTTTTATCTGTGAAGTTTGGATAATTTTCTAGGACGTAATGAACTGTTCGGCTCACAGTAGTGACATTCAGTGCAGTACCCTGATGGTTGATTCTGTCTCTATTTAGAATTGATTTCACATTGAAATGTGTCTCTCGATTTCTATTCAAAAACAGCCCAGATGGAAAATGGATTGAAGCTGCGTTTTTTCAAGTGAGAAAATGGCTGTGCTCTAGGCCACAATATTTATCTTTGGGAACATTTCCTAATAAAGACAGGCTAAAATTGACACAAGGTTGCTGTGGTGCTTTTTAAAATAGTATCTGTGTCTGTCATTGGGAAAGTGGAAATAATTATTCAAGAACAACTGCCTCTTTAAGACAGTGTGAAAACTGCCAAGAAAAATAAAGCGCCTAGAAATAATAAATAATAAAGGATCCAAATAAAAGGAAAAAAATTGAGTGATTTACCAAAGAACAACTTCCACATAACGAAAAACCTAAAGCTTTACTGAAGATCAAAACAAATAAACAAAAATTGGAATAAATTGAAGTCCATAACTTGTTCTTCAATTGGATGACTCAATATTACAAAGATGTCAACTCTTTTTATATTGATCTATAAATCTGCTATAATCCCAATTTTTAAAAAATACTACTAAGGACTTGAAAGGACTCGAATAAATGTTTCTGAAGTTCATGTGGGAGAATGGTATTGAAGAATAGCTAAGGGGCTGGGGTTGTGGCTCAGCGGTAGAGCACTCACCTAGTGCTCACCCAGGCACTGGGTTCGATTCTTAGTACCCCATAAATATAAATAAATAAAATAAAGGTATTGTGTCCAACTACAACTGAAAAAAAAAAAAAAAGAATAGCCAAGAGCTGGGGGTGTAGCTCCATGGTAGAGCACATGGTAGGGCATGTGTGAAGCCCCTGGGTTTGATCCCCAGCACTGCAAACAGAAGAAGGGAGAAAGGGAGGGAGAGAAGGAGAAAGAAAATAGCCAAAATCATTCTGGAAAAGAATCCTAGTAGGAGAAAGTGGTATGGAAAGAAAGAGGATTCAAATGCATGGACACAATAATGAAAATGGTGTCACACTGGCATGCATAAAAAACAGCTTCTCCACATAACCAAAGATAAAGTGAATGTAAGTCAGAATATATGGCATAGATCATTCTTGAAAGGTTAAAGGGTACTATTACACATGACACAGTTCTTGATCAGTTGGTTAGTTTGGAGGGAAAAAAGCTAAAGCCCTGAATCATTTTTTTAAAGATATTTTAGTTTTTAGTTGTAGATGGACACAATATCTTTATTTTATTTTTATGTGGTGCTGAAGATCGAACCCAGGGCCTCGCATGTGCTGGGCAAGCAGTCTACCACTGAGCCACAACCCCAGCTCAATATCCATTTTTTTAAATATTAAAATAAACTGCATGTTAAATGTTAAAGGTAAAAGTCAAATACTAGAAAACATATAAGTAAATGTTTGATCTTGGACTGGGGAAACAAGTCTAAGCATAGAGAAAAAGGGGGAAAATTAGAAATACCTGATAGATTTGGTTAATAAGATTTTAGAAATTTTCCCAATATTGTGTTAAATAGGATTCAAAGGCAATTGATCAATCATATTTACAAGATATGTGACAAAGGAATTAGCATTCTATATATTTAACGTTCTTATAAGTCATTAAAAGAAATTTGATCATTTTAATACAGTGGAAAGGACATGAATAGGCTAGGCAATTCACAAAGAACAATTACCATGACTAAAACACATTTTTAAAAAATCCTAAAAAATGCAAATTAAAAGAATAAAATTCCATTTGAAATCCAATAAATTGGCAAAGATTAACTGAAATAATAGGATGCAGTAAAAATAGAATAAGCCTTTCAAAACACTGCTCATGAAATAAAAAGAAATTACAGGGCAAAGGAAGCTTCCATAGTCTAAAGAAGGTGAACACTGCAGTATCTGAAAGCATATCCATGTTTTTATATCAGCAAACAATCAGTGCATATGAATATAGAAACATCACATGGTACCCCCTAAATATGTATAATATTATGTGTCAATTAAAAAATAAATTTAAAACCTTGTTAACCCTGGGCAGTGGCATTAAAAGCTAATTTAATTTTCTTTTTTTTAAATAATATTTATTTTTCAGTTTTCGGTGGACACAACATCTTTATTTATTTGTATGTGGTGCTGAGGATCGAACCCAGCACTGCATGCATGCCAGGCAAGCGCATTACTGCTTGAGCCACACCCCCAGCCTGCAATTTAATTTTCTTATTGGTTTTCTGCATTTGCCAAATTTCTACAATAAAAACGTGTTGTAGATCAGAATTCCTTATAAATTTTATAATATAGAATCAGTATATATTATAAAAATTTTAAAGAATCCTAGCACTTTATAACTTAAGTTTTCATGGGACTGAAAAAAATAGGATGTACATTTTCAGCTTAAAAAAGACAATATTTGTTTCCTTATACATTTTGCAGTAGGCAAAAATCAGTGGGCTGATTAGCAGGGTATTAATTTTAAATTCTCCCCTGCTAAACAAAACAAATGAAGATTAGCATTTCATTGAAATGTCAATGGTTTGGAAAAAAATCTTATCTGTAAAACCATTCCTCACAAAGGCAATAAATACAGCAATAAAATTTGTTAAAAGGTATCGACAGTCAGATTTTCAGGTATGGTTTTACTGAGCTTCTGGAGCAAAAAGTGTATCTCTGGAATCCACATGCTTAAATCTACTGCCAGTAGGCCCTGGCATACTCCTTTAGCAATTTTTACTGGATCCTCATATTACCGAACTATTTTCATTTTTTAAAATGAACTGACTTTTTAACAACTTACACAGGCACACAATGGTTTGACCTGGCCTGGCCCTAAGTCAATGACATATTAAAATGCTAGTATGTTCTGTTACGTTTGTTACTCTGAGAAGCCAGAGTCTGGACTGGGAGGAATTAGGGAAATGGCCATCTCATTTGCAAGGAGTGACATCCTCATTATGGCCTCTCTGCAAGTGAGTTTCCAAAATGTATCATTAACATGAGAAGGATTAAAACATGGAGCTGTAGCGCAATGCCCTTCCCCAAATAGCATAAGGCACAACCCCTAACTATGTCAGGGACATTTCCTGCATCTCACTGTAGATGCCCTATTGAAATGGCAACATGACAAGGATAGTTCTATAAACATACATCTGTGGACGCCCTGAAGAGGCCTGGAGTGCGAAAGGGTCAAAGTGTCCCACAGACAGCAGGAAGATGGGTGTGTTTGCAAGGGTCTCATTTGCTCTTTGATTGTGAGATGAGAAACCACTGGACAGGAGTGAGCAGAGGAGTGACATGATCAAGAAGTTGCTTCGGAGAATAGATTACCAGAGCTGATGGCAGTTAGAACCCAGCCCTCCAGATTTCTCAACAGGGTCACACAGCCCTTGCTTCCTAGTGCAGGGTTCTCTCCACTTGACCTCATATTCCTTTGAAACTCACATCTTCTTGTCAAAGACCAGGCAGCTTCCATATCTGAAGTCATTATAAACCTGAGAATCGCAGTTTCCACATTTAAATCTGACACCAGTGACCACTGGCATACTCCTTTAGTAGTTTTTACTACACCCTTGCATGACTGAGCTATTTTGATTTTTTTTAAATGAACTGACTTTTAAAAACTTAAATAGGCACAAGATGATTTGGAATATCCTTTCCTTAAATCAATTCATATATTTAAAATGCTAATATGTTCTATGGAATATACAAAAAACAAATACCATTGAAGTCAGAAACATCCGTGGACTGTGTCAAGTTGTTTTGCCTACTGGTGTACGCGTCCTGTATTCTGGGAGGCACTGTTTTAAACAAAGGAGAACCAGGCATGACCTGTGTGCTATGGTCAAGGGGTCAGCCTGGGCCCAGTGCCTGTGGCTGAGAGCCTACGTAAGAGAGTGAACGTGGCTGTGGAGAACCCACCTGAAGCACTGGAGCCGAAGTCCTTGGGCGAACCGGCCAGCTTGGTACTCCTTTCCGTCCATTACCGAAGGGACCGTCTCTGTGTCCTGCACAATGACAGCCATTTCACTGTCACGCTTCCCCAGCATGCTTCTGTCATTTATGTTGGCGGAGCCTAGAGGAGACACATTGAAACTGAGTAACCTCCTGTGGTGGGCTCTGCTGGCTGCCTCCCCACTCAAATTTTCCTGGCTAATAAAACCCAAATTTTGTATTTTGGGGGGGCCCTAAACCACAAGGAAATCTCATTCAGTCTAATCAATCATGGTAATTTCATTATTTCTGCCAGTGACTGGTTACAAATCGGCCCTTGGCGTGGTTCTAGCCAATGCAACATGGAGAGAAGTCTTCCAAGGGCTTCCAACAAGGTCTTTTTCCTTAGTCAAAAAGAACAGAAGAAATGGATGCTGTCTTTTCCAGGCTTTAGGTATTTGACTTGAAAAGTTGGGTGAGGACATGACCCTGGGAACTGCTGCAGCCACTGGCAACCACAAGTGGACAGACAGACACACTGAAGATGGAGAGCAGAAAGACTCTGGATCTTTAGGTCACTGGGCTAGCCAAAGCTAGAACTTTCTAACCTTCTGTTCTTTGAAGTAATACATTTTCCTTACTGTTCCACACACTGCTAGTTTTCTACCTGTCTCAAAGAATTGCAATTGATCCAATCATGAATCACTTCAAGAAAACAAGGCATGCCTATCAGTTCAGCACAGAGGATGGCGTGACTTGCAGAGTTAATCAGAGTCTGGTTAAGGTTGTGGCTCAGCGGTAGAGCGCTCGTCTAGCATGCGTGAGGCACTGGGCTCGATCCTCAGTACCACATMAAAATAAATAAAATGAAGGTATTGTGTCCAACTACAACTAAAAAATACATACATTAAAAAAAAAAAAAAAAAAGAAAAAAGAATCAGAGTCTGAAGACTTTAACTCAGTCACCTAACGAGGAATGTGAAAGCCCTGGAGCCACCTCCATAATCACCAGAGCCTAATCTCAGAGCCAGGTTGTCACTGGTGGCTTTGGACTTTCCACTCTTGCCTCACTCCTGTGGCATGCTGACATCCTCCCTATCAACTTCCCTCCATTCTATTTTTAAATCCTGAGGAGCTGAGAATGTTGACTTTCAAATGTGAAGGGCAAATCTTTTCATATTCGTTCAACCTGAGCTTTCCACAGTCCTCCGATGTGCATTCAGAAACCCCAGCACGTTTTCTGCATTCGTCGCTGCAGATTCACGCTTTGGAATCCTTGATGTGTCCTACCAGCTACAGAGGGGCCCCCATTTTTTTTTCTCTTTGTTCCTCTTGTCCTGGCTGCAGCACTCTATGGCTTCTGCAGACATGGAGCAGAAGGGTCGGGCTGAACAGGCGCACTGGCTGCCCCCTTGTGACTGGAACACCAGAGCAGTAAGGTGACAGTTGCCCTGCCTCCAGTCCCACTGAGTAGCATCACATAATCAATATACAAATCTACAATGACTGTGGATATGAATGGTACCCCATACAAATGGAGGTTCTGTTGGAGTGCCGTAAAGTGGGAACTTTTGAAACATTTTGATGTGTAAGCAACACATTTTCCTTTATACATACACTTACATTTTCCTTAAGCTGTAAAATCAGCAGGCATATCTTCAGGCTTGACAGTCAGCCAGCATTAATTGGGCAAGTCATTTAATCTTTCTCAGCTTAAATTTGATCTTTCATAAATTGAGATAATATCGACCTTGTAGGGTTGTGGTGGGAATTAAGTAAGACCACGTGAAAGCACCTGCTGATTCATGAGCTGCTCTATGAATGTTAATTATTATTGGCATTATTATCAGATACTTGTTAACCCTAGAATATCAGCACCACAGCACATTGCTGTGGGAAGGCAGAATTTGCTAGAATGAGCATTGGTATCAAAGAAGCCTCCTCTCTGGCTTATTCACACCCACCCCTGGTGTATGTTACCAAGGACACTAAGAATAAAGTTCTCGTGATATTATAGCTTCAGGATTTCATTATTCCCTCCCCTGGGCAGAGGCCACTCTGGGGCTGGGGCTGATGGTGAGACATTGCTACTCTGTTCCCTGTCAGGAAAACTGGGATGTGAGTCAGCTTGGAAAATCTCCTCCATACCATGCATGTATCTGCACACGCACACACACACATACACACACACAGAGTAACGCCAGTCCCTAACCCCCTCGTATCACAGTGGTCCCCACATTCCCCGGGGTAGGAATGCATTCCTGGCATTCTGAGCTGGAATTCTTAGAGACAGGGTTGGTCTGTATTTCAAGGGCTGATCTGCAGTGACTCTGAACACTGACTCTCAACTATATTAGGTAAGTGACAGGGCTACTATTTAACAGCAGTATGAAGAAAAAGATTGAGAAAAAATTAGATGAACTTAATAAACGTGATATTGATAGATGTCAATGCTACCTCTAGTCTGCGGTAAAATCTTTCTGGATGCTGAAAATCAAATTCAAAACAGGAAAGAGAGTACTCAGGCATGCTCTCATTTCCATAAAACATATGAGGATAAAGACAGAACAAGGGACCAGAAGGATGCGTACTGAGTCGTTAATGGCAGTGGGTCCCTTTTGAGGAAGAGAAAGGGACATTTCAGGGGACTTTTGACCTCTTACTCTACCCCTACTCTCAGATTGGAATTGTTCACAACAAATATGCTTTGCATTCCTGTATTACTATTTTTTTTTTTTTGAGAAGGGGTTTCACTATGTTGCCCAGGTTGGCCTTGAACTTGTGATCTCCTGCCTTAGTTTCCTAAGTTGCTGGGATCACAGGTATACCCAGCTCACATATTACTTTTTTTTAATACAATTTTTTTTAGTTGTAGTTGGACACGATACCTTTATTTTGTTTATTTATTTTTATGTGGTGCTGAGGATCGAACCCAGTGCCTCACACGTGCTAGGCGGGCACTCTACTGCTGAGCCACAACCCCAGCCCACGTATTACTTTTTATGATAACTGCAATCCCTTGTTCTTATTAGAATGTTGCCTCAATCATTTAAAACCACTTCGCTTTTAGGAAATGATATTTTCTAAGGCTGTTATTAGGAAACTTCAAAAAAACTGAAAAGACAACAAAATAAAAAGGAATATATGAAAACATACATGTGTGCCTTAAGCAATAATAAGATAAACATCACTGAATTCATCACCAGGCTGAGAACGTTTTGGCATCCCAGAAGCCCTCACATACCCTCCTGCGCATAACCTCCCCTCTCCAACAGGGAGATGATGTTGAACTTTGTGTTCATCCTTCTCTGCATGTTTTCCTAAATGAAAAAATGCTTCACTTTTGACACAGAAGTGTCACATCATAAATTTGTATAAATGGAATCATATAGAATATAATCTTTTGAAATTTACTTTTCATTCAATGTTATATCTTTGAGATTCATCTGTGCACAATGGTGATGCATGTTCTCAAATGAACACATCAGGGATTTATTTATTCATTCTACTATTAATGGATGGATTGGGTTGTTTCCAGAATTTTGCTGTGATGCACAATTCTGCTCTACATAGTTGCATATTTGCTTCTCAGTATACACATGTGAGAGTTTATCTGGGTTCTGTATGCAGGAGTAGACTGCTAAGCTGCAGAGTAACTTAACTAGATAATGCCTGAATATTTTCCAAAGTGGTTTCCAATTTGTGCTCTCTAAAGCAGAGGATGGGACCCACTATTGCTCCACAGCCTTGCCAATACTCAAATTGTCCAACTTTATAAGTTTTGCCAGTCTGGTATTTTTAAAAAGAATTTATCTTATTATTATATTGATGAGCATAAACATCATTTCATGTTTATGGGCCTTAGGTATGTTCTCTCCAGTGAAGCTCCAATATAATTCCCCTGCCCACTTTTTAAAAAAAAATTTGTCTTTTCTTGATTTAGAGGAGTTCTTTATGTGTAAAAATCTCCTTTCAATTTGTGGTTTAGCTTTACATTTTCTCTTAATGAATAAAATTCTGAATTTTGATACAGTTGTATTTACTGCTCTTTTCCTTCATGATTTGTGCTTTTTAGTGTGTATTATTTAAGAAATTATGAATCCTCTGTAATAGGCAGGATAACTGCCTCCAAAGAGTCCATGTCCTAACCCAGAAAACTGTGAGTGTTATGTCACATGGCAAAGTGGAATCAGGCTGCATATAAAGTTCAGGTTGCTAATCAGCTAGCTTTAAAGTAGGGTGATGGGCCTGTATTATTCAGGTGGGCCAATACAATCACAAGTGTCCTTGAAAGTCATGAGGAGTCACAGGGAGATGTGATTACAGAGGAATGGGTTGAGCCTTTCTAGAATCCTTAGAGATGGAAATCCGCTAGTTTTAAAGATGGAGGAAGTGGTCCAGGAGCCAAGGAATGTGGGCAGCCCCTAGAAGCTGGAAAAGGGAAGGAAATGGATTCTCTCGGAGAGGCTCCAGAAAGGTGTGCGACAGTCCTGCTGACACCCTGGATTGAGACCCATGTTGGACTTCTAATTCACAGAAGTGTCACATCATAAATTGGTGTGGTTTTTAAGCCACTAAGAGCATGGTCATTGGTTAGAGCAGTAATAGAAAACTGCTAAAGTTTGGATCTGGAGTCTCCCAAAGGCTTGTGCACTGAAGGCTTGGCGCCCAATGCAGCAGTGTTCAGAGGTAAAGTGTTTGGGAAGTGATTGGATCATAGGGACTTTGATGTCATCAGTGGATCCCTCTGTTGATGGGTTCACAATTGTATGGACAATTGGGAGGCGGTGGAAACTGTAGGAGAATCAATTGGAGGAAGGTCACTGAAGGCATGCCTTGGAGGATATATCTTATCCCTGGATGCTCGCTCTCTGTCTCCTTCTGTCTGCCTCCTTCCCCATCCTTCTTGGCCACCATGATGTGAGCAGCTTTGTTCTACCACACCCTCCCACCTGATATAACACCTCACTGACAGGCTCAGAAACAATGGAGATAAGTGACCAAGGAATAGAACTGCTGAAACCATGATCCAAAATAAATCTTTCCTGTTTTAAGTTGTTTTTCTCAGTTGTTTTGTCATAGTGACAGAAAGCTGACTAACTCACTAACACACTAACTCTACTCTGTTTTAGTTTATTTGTTTTAAAAGAAAACTTTTACTATTGAGCCCAAATGGGCTACCCTCCACCTAATTGTGTTCCCTGTGCCTCCAGATCCAAAGTACTCAGCTCTGACTACTGACATGCACTTAGGAAGCTTTTTCAACATATTGATGCCAAAATAAAAAAATGAAACCTCCAATAACTAGAGTTCCAAACCAGGCCAACAGATGAAAATGATGAGAAGTAGAAACCAGGTATTGGTCTTCTGCTCTATCCCCATGTATATCAATCATCCATGGTTTCTTTTTTGATGCCTTTTAAAGTACTCTGAAGAATGAGTAAACCTCCTCCTAAATGATACATATATCTGAAAGTTCCCCAGGTGATTCTAATGTAGCTAGGGTTGAGACTCATAGGAATAGATATTTTAAAATAAGTATAAACCCTCTTCATTGGGGCAGGCCTTCCACAAAGCCATGCTCAAGCCTTTCCTTTGAATGCTGTTGCTCATGATTTCTGCATAGTTTCTGCACCACCCCCACCCCACATTGTTGATCGCCTCTGACCTTCCCGCTACTGTCTAGCAATATCCACCCCAATGTTTGTGGCATCAATTGGAAAGAATAGCTGCTCTCCTCTCAGCCAGGAGCTGTGTGAAGGCAKCGGCCCTGTTTTATTCACGTTTGACATCTCCCCACTGTGCTTGGCAGTGGACTAGTGAACATCAAAACAATTTCACTTAGTCAACAAAACAGACTTAAATTCAACTTGAAGGATAGCCTTGTTTTGTTTAGGAGAGCAAAATAAATGTTAGTTTGGTTTCGTGCTAAAAATTATGGTGTGTGAGAAAAATGGATTTGGGCACAAATTGCATGTCCAGAAGGGCTACTCAGGGCAACTGGTAATCAAAGCTATATATAAAAGAGATCTTCAATACGAGAAAACAAATGTTTCATTGTAAGGAAAAAAAAATGAAGATAAACAAATTAGTCATTGGTTTTAGGTCAGCCATTCAATAATTCTGGCATAAGCTTGCCATGTTAGAAAAATTGATCACGAGTTCCTTTAACCTCCTTTAAGCTTTTAAATGAATGCTTAACATCTGTAAAATGTTCTCAACCTAGCTTCAACTGTTTTCTGTGAATTTCATTTTACTCATTCATTTTTGCAGGGCTGGCGATGGAACCCAGAACCTGCACATGTTAGGCAAGTACTCTACATTTCCCCAGCCCCTTGTCTGAGAATATTAAATATGTTTTTCTCTTTGTTATGGACTTAAACAGGGGTTATGTGTTAGAGAAATGTATTATTTTTAAAGCACAATGCTCTTAGGGGAGGGAAGAAAGAAATCCAACTCTCAAGGACTAGCAAGCAGTCCTCTTCACAGGCCCACAGCCACATCCTCAGTTTCAAGACAGCAGATAAGAATTCTTGTGCAAAACAGATCAATTATTGCCATCCTAAATAAACTATAACACCCAAGGGTTCAGAAATCTTTCTAGAAGGAAAATAAATCAATTAAAATAAAACTCAACAAACCAATTTAACCGTTAGCTCTATGAATGAAAAATACCTTGCATTTACATTTTAAGTAAAGCAGGCTAAAAGTCAAAATGACATCTCAAAGGAAAATATTTACATCTGTCAATTTTTACTTCTAAAATATTTTTACTTCTAAATTTTTACTTCTAAAATATTGCTACAATGATAACTGAATTTTACTTGGCCTTGTTTGTTTACTTTTCCATTTTAGTAAACATTAGCATTTTCTACTTCCTGCTGCAGTTACCATATTTAATATAAAAATATTCTGATGTTGGCTTTTGAAGAACGAAGGCAGATTAGCTTGTGGGAAATAAGATAAACCTTGTGTACTGGAGGACAAAGGGGAGTGAATAAACACCTGAAGAGCTCCATTCCTATATAGCAATAGATGAAAAAGATTATTTTATGTGCCCTGTATGAATATTAGGAGAATCGCTCTCTCCAATCTCAATCCCCCCACTTCTTTCACTCTGCATGCACACAGACAGGCATGGGGGAGACACACACACACACACACACACACACACACACACACACACACACACACACCGGTGATCTATAAATCTTCTGGTTTTAGAACTATTCTTCCTTTCTTTTCAAATCACACTCCAGATAAGACAGCCTCATTACTCCTAGATATGAGATTTTTTTTTCCCCTTTTCTCAGTGGAGGATAGAGATGGAAAAGGCATATTAGCTGCCAAAAAATTTCAAAACACTTCATTGACATTTAGTTTCTTAAAGAATAGGGAATTATCTTATTATAGCTGAGAAATTACATTTTATTTAAAACAGATGAGCAGAATTCCCAATAGTGGGACCTGTCACATCTCCCAGTAACACGCCTTCAACCCCCCTCAGCTCATTCATCCTGCTGATTATTAATTCTGTTTCTCATCCTGGCCTTCCAGGGTTCAGGTACCATAATATACAAAGGCAAAACCATTCAATGATGGTCAAATGAAGCTTTCAGTGTATATAAAAGAATGAAGCCAAACATCCACCTCTCTGGCCAAGTAGTAGATCTAATGTGGGTAGAATGGACAACCAGTAACTCTCTCCTGAATCTGTCAGTGTGGAGAGGTCTTTAGGGAAACCCACCGTGAATTCTTGAAAGGAAAAGACAGTGGACCTTAGTGTAGAGTTCAACATATCAAGAGCATATAGTCTCTGTCCCCCACCTCCCACGTTAACAAAACTGGCCTGCTCTACATCCTGATGACACCCCAAAAACAGGCATTAGGAAAAATAATAAGCATACAGGCAGTAATATTTTAATACTGTTTTGACTTGGACTTTTATGTAACTTCAGGTCTGTGATACTGGTTAGTAAATATGGGTGGAAACACATACAAATTACCACGAGGTATTCTTATAACCACTTTCCCTCCACATTTCTGCCTCTCCAATTCCAGAAATCTAGGTACTTGGATTCAAAATAAAAATAAGGAATTAACAAAGAATTAATGAGATCAGACAGATTATTGACTTCTGGATTAAAACACTGCTTTTGAATACTGTAAGTTGTACACATCCATTTCATTACTCTGGGTTTCTGAACTTTAAAGACAGACCAAAAGGACATAGAGAAAATGATTGTTTTAGAAGTATTTTAGATGTTATATTACTGTCTTTCAATTGCAAAGGAAGTGTGGGACTGATAGCAAGAAACACTGAGGCATGGGATAAGTCAGCTGGCAGGGAACACAATCACAGACCACATACTTACCAATAATAACAGTGTTATCATCAGCAATTAACAACTTGCTGTGGACATAGATAAGCTCAGTGACCAGGTTTCCTTCAAGCTCTGCATGTGTTCTAAGACCACAGAATGAAATATAATTTATCCACTGATTACCAACTGGAAATTAAAAAAGAAATTATTAAAATTAATATGACCATGCTCTAAAAAGGCACATTAAATTTTACTGTTTTTCAAAACAAAATATATAATCTAAACATGTTGTTTAGAATGTACTGTATTGTGTGTGTGTGCGTGCGTGTGTGTAAATACAACCTCAGAATTCACCCAGGGTCTACTTTCTCTATCTGGGGAGTTTTTATAGTGTTCCTCTGGATGGCTATACATTTTAAAAAATTATATCGAAGTGTTTTCTGTCTTGCCCTTGCTGAGGCAATCCAAAACTATGTTCAAAGATATATCATTTCATTTTAATGATTTGGTGAGTAATTGCTGAAAAGTGATGATAAGGTTGAGGCAGAACCGATAATCCGAGATTCAGTGTGACATTTGCTTCTTTTTTGGTTGACACCTGCTGCAATTCAATCAGAGGCAAGGTATGTGCCCAAACATACATTTGTAGCATGTTCCATCCTAAGCAGCTGTTATATTTTACTGACTTGGAGCAAATAAAAATGTTGGCAATTTAAATACCCTCCCCCTTTTAGATCATTCAACTTAGGAACTGAAAGAATCTTTTTTTTTTTTTTTAAAGAGAGAGTGAGAGAGGAGAGAGAGAGAGAGAATTTTTAATATTTATTTTTTAGTATTTGGCGGACACAACATCTTTGTTGGTATGTGGTGCTGAGGATCGAACCCGGGCTGCACGCATGCCAGTTGAGCGCGCTACCGCTTGAGCCACATCCCCAGCTCCCTGAAAGAATCTTTACTACATGAGATATAGGGGGATTTTCTTCAGAGAAAGCAGTACTAGTCTTGTACTTGGAAATGCTGCCTTCTCATTTCATTATGTAAGGGTCATTCATGTGATAAGAAGGAATGCATTCCATATCAAGCCAACCCCAGGATGAATGCTAGTCACAAGATTTTATGGTCCCTATTCCACACAGCAGTTGTCCGGTACAAGCAAAGTCTTATCAAGTCTGATAATAAGAATAAATGGCCTAGAACCAAATTGTCATGAATTCTAATAGAGAGTATAAGTCTTTTTTCTTTAAAAGACTCTTGAAACATACTAATAGAACCAGTAGTCTTTCACATTTCATTTACTGACATTTCCATTTATAACTGAGGTTTTCCATTTTACTATTGATGCTATTTAATGTTTGCATTAAGTTTAGATACCTTAGGAAAAAATCCAGTCACATGATACATACGGAGCTTTCTTCCCTGACAGCTAACTCTTCCCTCATGCACGAGTGATCATACATAGCTGTGTTTGGCAAGAGCTGATGTRGTGGCATCACGTGTAGGAGAGGCATTTCCAAAAAGTTCAATGTGAATGAGATCTTTGTAAATTGACTTCTTTCTCTGTGTGTCTGTGTCACATTGGAAAGATGCTTCGTCTGAAGCATCACCTCCTCTCCGCAGTCTCCTCTTTTCCAGGAGGGAGGAGCATTTCCTCTTTGAAGCCTCTCATGCCCATAAAATTCCTGGAAAATGTTACTACTATAATATGTAGTTTTTACAAATATTTGTATATTCTTCTATTTCTCTTTTAACAGTATGGGAACTAGTCTGACACATCTTGGTATGCTCATCCGTGCTAAGAAAAGTGGAATAAATGAGTGCAAGGGTCAAAATGTAAAATATTCAAGTGGCAGATAATATTTCAGCTTTGGAGTTTTCTGTATCATCTACAGCTGGCTTTTAACCTAAAATTGAAAATGTTAATGAACAAACCAACTTTTTAATGGAATCACTGAACAAATCCTTTGCTAAAATAAGTATTTTTTTGTAGTAATTCCCCACTTGAAAATCACAGTGAACAACACAAGAGGCCAGCAGTTTTTGGTGTGCAGAAGAACCACCCCTGTGGGACTTATTAAAAGCAGATTCCTATGACACTGCCCCGAATTTTGATTCAGCAAAAATCATCAGTAAGACACTATCTTTGAACAACATCGCTACTGAGTTTTGGCATTTATAGATTTAAGATTAATAGTGCACATTAAGAAAATAATAGATCATGACCAAGTGCGATATGTTCCAGAGACACAAGTCTGCTCAATGTGAGGAAATGCATTAAAACAAGATTATCTTCCTTTGACAATCTAGGGGGAAGATCACATAATCATCTCAACAGATGCAGAAAACCTTTTGAGACAATCTAGCATCCATTCCTCATAAAAACAGTGAGGTAGAAAAAGATGCATACATACCTATATGCTTTTAAATGTATAAGATGTAAATAATAGATGTATATGTGTGTGTGTTATATATAATCAATACAATTTAATTTTGTCTTGGAAACATCAGTTAATGTAGCTAGTCAAGAGAAATCATAAGAAATAAGCTAATCACTCATTTGCAGATATGATCATAGTATACCCAGAGAACCAATGATAAAATGATCTTAAACGATGAAATGATTAATTATGGTAACAGAATATAAATTGATATATAGAAACCAGTAGCTTTCATACATACAAATGATAACCATTTAGAGACTCACAAACAGAACTTCATTTATATATGTTCCTACAAAGATAAAATACTTAAAGATAAATTTAACAGGATATGTGTAAAAATTTAGGAAGAAAAATTTAAAAGACTCTCAAGACAGAAGAATAGACAAATGCAAAGCCACCCCTTGTTCTGGGATAGAACTATTCAACACTGAAAGATGTTGACTTTTCCCAGGTTCATTTATATATTTAAGGTAATCACAATACAAATACCAACATTTTTAATGGAGTTAGACAATATGATATCATAGTTCATGAGGAAAAATATATATGCAAGAATAACTTAGAAATTTTTAAAGAAAAGCTATGAGGAGACATTAGCTCTATCAGATATGAACACATGCTATAAAGTCTGTATAATTCAATAGTGCAGAACTGGTACATAAATAGATAAGCCAGTGGATGAACTAGAAAGTCCAAAAATAGACCAAAGTGTAGGTGGAAATTTTGTGTATGATGAAAGCAGAATCTCAAGTGATCAGGACAGGACATTCAAGTAAGAGGTGCCAATACAATGGAAAAGCCACTTGAAAAAGGTAAAACTCCAAGAATTCCATTAAGAATAAATTCCAAATGCGCTGATTCATAGTGGGATAGGGAGAGGGAGTATGGGAAGAACAGACAAACTCTAGATAGGGCAGAGGGGTTGGAGGGGAAGGGAGAGGGCATGGGGTTAGAAATGCTGGTGAAATGTGATGATCATTATTATCCAAAGTACATGTATGAAGACACAAATTGGTGTGAATATACTTTGTATACAACCAGAGATATGAAAAATTGTGCTCTCTCTATATAATAAGAATTGTAATGCATTCTGCTGTCATATATAAATAAACAAAAGAATAAATTCCAAATGGATCAGAAATGGAAATGTAATCATATGAAATCAGACAAAAAGAAGAAAACAAGAGTGAATTCCTTTACAATCCAAGTGAAGGGAAGGCTTTTTACTATCCAGTGGCAGTAAAAGATTGATGATTGATAATGTTAACTGGATTACATGAGAATATATTTGCATGACAGAAAACACCACAGGAAAAAACCAAGGGCAAAATGCAAACATGAGAGAAAGTATTTGCAAAAAAATGATATGTATACATATATATACACATATACATATAACATATATATATATAYAYATAYAYAYATATATATATATATATATATMWATCAGATAAAGTGTAAGAGTTCTTAAGTTGTAAGTTCTTTATAACATATGAAAGACTTGAATTGAAGGGGAAGAAAACCAAAATCTTGATAGAAAGATGGGCAAGAGATATAACTAAGTAATTCACACAGACAAAAAATACATGTGAAAAGATATTCACCCTTAGTCAAAATAATAGAAATGCAAATTAAAACTACACTGAGAAACCATTTCTTACTTATGAGATTGGCAAAAATGAATGAATGGATGGATGGATAAATGAATGAAGTGGAAGAACATATTCTGCTGGGGAGACTAGGCTGGAACAGGCTCTGTCATATATTGGTGATAGGAACGCTAATTCCTAGAGGGTCACCTGGCGATATTTGACAAAGCTACCTAGTAATTCCACTCTAGAAATTTACCCTAAAGATATACCTACAACAAATAAGAAAACATATGCACAAAGTTATTCATTGTTCAGTCCTGACTATTGAAAGTGTACAATTTGTTTGTAATTGAGAAATATAGAAAACATTCTAAATGTCCATATATAGTGGAGATATGGAGTAAACCATGGCAAATCCACACTTGGGAGACTCTGCAAAAGTGAAAAGGAATGAAGATCTCCGTGAATTGACATTAAAGTGACTCCAAAATCATTTTGCCCCTCCCCCCAACTAAAATGACTAAAGGACCATTTCAGATTAAGGGAAAATAAGGGTCAAGGGCAACCAAGTGCTACACATGATGTGAGCAGAACACGCCCCCCAGAAAACAAAACCTTTCTTCCTCTTCTGCTTGAAGAAGATTAGTGGGACAGTTGGCAAAATTCTGGTAAGGGCTATAGGCTAGGTAATAGTATTACATTAATGTTAGTTTCATTTATTTCAGTAATTGAACTATAGCTGATTAGGAAAGTGTCCTTGTTTTCTCAGAAACAGTATTTAGGGGAAAAGGAACATCCTTGCTACAACTTATTGCAAAATGTTGCAGAGTAAAGAAGCAAACAAAATCCTATTAAAATATAGATCTACTGGGAGAAAGCAATAAAGCAAAGGGGGTGATAAGCTAACGTTTGGGAAATGAGGATGAAGAGTCCTGAAAACGGTTCTACAAGTCCAAAATTATTTCAGAATTACTTTTTTTATATTAGGTAATACTTATTAGCTGTTATCAACCTGAAGGTCTAAGACATGTCATAGTGTGTGGCTTTCTGAGGCACAGGGATGCACCATCCTACAGGAAGCCTAGGGAGCATCAGTAAAGTACCAGAGATCACCCTGCCTATAGCCCAGGCCGACCTCCCACTCACCTTCACCTAT